ACAGAAATCAAATTTAAAAAAAAAAAAAATCAATTAACGGAAAATAAAAAAAATGGAAAAAACAACAACGTCGGGTCCTCAGGGGGACGAGCGCTGTCGGCACCTGGCCAATCCCGTAGGACAGCCTGCTACCATACCTACCAACAAAAGTCGGAGGGGGATAGCCCCGACGGGCCCTCGACCCCTCGGCTCCCTCATTGCCGCTTCGCTGCTCCGCCGCTCCCGCACCACCGCTCGCTGGCCATGATCCCAGGACCTTCGTCGCAGTAACCCGCCATCGTAACCTATAGGGCTAAGCCCCAGCGTGAGATCAGCGGGCGGTAAATCCCATATGAAGCGGTACTGAGGTGGTGCAGTCCAGTACCTAGGGCCGAGGGGGACGTCGTAGGCCTTGCCCCTACCTATGGCAAGGCGCGGGGCTACCAAGCAATCATGCTGGCCTCCCCGACTGTGCCACGGCCGCCCCACGTACCATCCTACATATCAGCCCTGCCGCCGGTCAGGCATAGTAAGCGAGGGCCAGCCTATTAATCCTTGGCCTAATCAAGGGTGCGGTGTCAAGCCGGACGCCTGTGTCTGCGACACGACCTAAAGGGCAAAATCACACGCACGCTTTGAAACTGCGCTCCCACTCACCCTACCTCCTTAGCCAGCCTTGGTCCATACACTAGTAGCCGTTTGAGCATACCGGCCTGGACCGTCGGCCCCGCTGTCACTTGCAAAAAACGAGGGCAGATACCCTTGCAAGGGTATTCACGCCGACAGCCTACCGGACTATATTAAGCGACGTCCTCGTCGCTTCACAAGATCAAAAGCAATCAAGCCATCCATGCATAAAAATGCTGACGAGAAGGAACCAATCCGAACAGCCGACAGACTCAGGTTCGAGGCCCCCAACGGTCCATGCCCACACAACTATATGTTGCCAGGGTTTCAACCTGGGTCTCCATTGTCCTGACACTAGGACGCCGGTGTACTACGCATCAGTATTACAACATAAGTTCCAAAAGGCCCTCCTACCCGTCCTCGCCCCTTTGTCCTAGTCAAACGCCGGCCTCTCGTTGAGTGCCCCCAGCCCTTACCTGGTAGCAGGGTCATAACTGGGGACGCGGGCCCTAACCGAGACCTTTGAAGGCTTTTTGCCTTTCTCTCAAAAACTCCTCATAGTCAGACACATATTTGTGTGCACCCTTAAATCTCTCTCGGCGTCTTCCGCATTCTAGTACGGAAGCGCTAGGTCTCCATCTTGGCCCACCATAGTCTGGGCGATCAGGCCAGATCTACGGCCTACCAAGTGGTTATTTTAGCGGTAGTGCCCTCGCAGGTTGTGCCACGATAGGCTTTCTCCTGATAAGTACCCAATCAAGACTTCCCAAAAAGACTCATATGACTCGACTCCTATCCCAGGCCGTTCCACAGAGGTAAAACCTTCCCGGGCGGCCACACCCTTTAAGCCTTTACTCCCGTGGTCAGACGTGGGTCCGCGGCCAGGTTGTGTCGGTCCGCGGCCATCCCTAGGGGTTACGCCCTAGTGGTGCTAAAACTTTACCGTTTAGCTTGGTCTTCCTTATGTGCCTTGAGGTTAATACGAGTGGTCGGACGGTGCGTCGCAACAACTACAGGCCTACTGCGGGATTGCGCATAGGCTTGTCACACATGACAGACATTTAGCTGCTCTCCGTGGGGCAACACGGTGAGGACATGGCCACCTCTCCCCATTCACAACCACAAGGCACCGCCAGATCCACCAAGTAGTAACTCCTTAACTTGATCAGGGTAAGAGGGTCACACACCCCAGGGACACCTCTCAAAAGCAAACATTTTTGCGACATTCTCAAGAAATTTCACCAAGTAGCCAGTAAAACCTGGTTCCTTTCGTCAGTCTTTCATCTTACCAACCCAGCTTTTCATGCCATCAGATCCATTAATCATTTCCCCTATGGGGGAGGTCTCACTCAATAGGTTTGTCAGCCATCCCTCTCTTCCTTAGGATGGGTTCTCACATGACCTGTGTAAACTATCTTCCTTTTCTGGAGATAAGTCTCCCAAATAATTCATAGTGTACAATTCAATCATGGCAACAGTACAACACAAGGGGCCAACCTATGGGTCCCTAATACAACTTAGATACTCAAACATTTGGCATGATAACTTTCGAGTCCCAAGGACTCATAGACCCTTTAGGATTTTTACAACTCTCTTTCACAAGGCAGACTGCGCTCCCTCTCCTTATACTCGGCTCCAGCATCTGCCCATGGGCAGGTCACACGAGTATACCGAAGAGTAGACAGTTTACATTCACTCACAAGGCATAAACATATGAGTTGTTTGTCACACAAATCCCACACAAATCATCATACATCGGAAAGCTACACATGTGAGAGTGAGAGTGATCGTCATACACAGGGAAATAGTCTCAAACCTTGCTCAATATATACCCAACAATAGACTACCTCACAAAACTCAATATCAATACTTAAGTATTCTGTCCCCTCTCATATCTAGTGGGTTCATACCCTAAGTGTTACTAACTCTCACACCACCCATAAGTAAACCTTGATCTCAAAACAACAAAAAAAACAAATACGATCGGGTGTCCTAAGCATCACATAACTGAGTCTCGTTCCCTGGGATCACAACACGGACAGAACCTCAAACCTTATTGTATATTGGTCCTTTGTCGCATGCAACACCCTAAGATACATGTATGTGACTCGCGATACCCTATGCCCTTGACTCACTCTTCCTATGTATAGAAAACATCCTCACTTCTACTGGCGTATAGGCAAACCAACCCCTCACTCGCTCATCTCCTCCTGGTTTTGCCTATACAACTGGGCTCGACCCCCATCCGGAGCCCTCTCTACCACTCGGCCCTGTCTATCATACATCTTGCCATCTTCCTCAGTAACCCGTCCCTCAGCCTTGTCCTTGAGGAACTTAGGGCACTCCAGGGCCCTATGCGCGCCATCCAAGAAGTAGAAGCACATGTCCCCCGACTTTCTCTGAAATCTCTTCTTCTTTTTCTGGGTTCCTGGCAATAGAAGCGCCTCTTCCTTCTCCTTACTCACTTCATGACTCTGGGGCAGGTGCCACGGTCCTTCAGCTTCCCCTTCGATTCCATGGGCACTTGACTTCCCTTGCTGCATTTCTCTCTCGGGTTGGTACTCAGGGGTATCCAATCTCAGGGGCCGGCCCTCGCGGGTTACCTCCAATACGGCTTCCTCCTGCTTCTCACAGGGCCTCGGAGCCTGGGGAGTAGCGGCTCTAGTAGGCTGGCTCATGGCCTCCTGCTGCCGCTGGTCAGTAGTCGGTCCTCCCGAGTCAGTCCCAGTGGCCCACGAGCCCAGCTGTACCCTCAACTCCTCCAACTTTGGCTCGTGCTCTGGGACCTCTGGTCCCTGACGCCTCTCTGGCGGCGTATCCACCTCCATGGCTGCTATCAACTCGTCCAGACGTGACTGCCCCTCCCCTTGCGCCTCAAGTTGTGGAAGCTCCACCGCTCCAGTGAGAGTCCTTCCTGTACGTCCCGAACGATCGCCAGTGACTCCTCAACCTCCCCCTCTTCTTCTGGTGCATGTTGGGGCTCTCGGGTCAGCGCCTCCTTAGGGGTATCTGCTGAAGCAGGGCCCTCCTGCTGTGAAGTCAGCTCAGTGGGAGCCTTGAACTCAAAGCTTCCCTTGTTGGCTTCCTTCCTTGCCTTTGCCTCAGCTGGGTTCAGAAATACCTTCCCCAACTTTTCCTGTGGAGATGCCTCTGCTGCCTCCTCTTGGCCAAACAACCCTTGTTGTATCTACTCTGCTCAGTCCAGTCGATCACCTTGGTGGCTGCAAGTCTTTCCACTGTGGCCGCCATCTCCTTAAGCTTTGCTTCCCACTCATCCTCCTTCGCCTCCAGGCGAGTTTGCCTGGCCTTGTTCTCGGCCCTCTCTTCTGCGAGTTGGGCAGTCAGCTGCTCCACCTCATCCTTCCTGAGGGTCAGTTCATCACTAAGTAGGGAATACCTTTGAAAGACCTCGATGGATGTCTACTTTATCTCCTTGTCTACCCATTTGATGACCTCTCTGGTGGCAGAAAACCCCAGCTCCCCAACCTCTACCGCCTCGCCTGCTTCCTCCGTTGCCTGGCCTGTCTCTCGTGCCCTCTGACGAGCTGCCTCTCTCCGCTCCTCATATCTGGCCCACAACTCGTCAATCATCTGTTCGCTCATGTATCTCCGCAAGGCGAGCTTGTACCCTGGCACGCTTTGCTTGGACGGCCTTGTCTGGCTTTTTCTCTGTGCCTACCTCCGCGACTCCCCCAGTCGCAACTTGCGAGCCCTCCTCTAACTCAGTACGTGCTGGCCCCGATGATGGCCCGACCAGACTGGGCCCCTCAATGTCAGGGTGCTCAGCTGCGTGTGTGGCTAAACGTGAGTCGACGACCAGGCGGGGCTCCATCCTCCACCCCTCCACCGGCCTTCTCGCCTCAACCTCCTGCCTGGGTGACATAGTGGCCTCTGGTGGTGGTACTGGGGCTTCCTGGTTGTCTGGCTCCGGGACGCCCTCTGGCCAAGACCGCCGTGTCTGTGCTCGAGCTGGGGAGTCAGGGGGAGTATCACCTTCCACCACAATGACATCTTTCGCACCTACCCCCTTCAATCTGAGTGGCTCTGCCTCGGGCTCTGGGCGAGTCTGCCCTCCCCCTGATGGGTCCGTGAGGCTCTCTCCTGCTGAAGGGGCCTCCCACTGGGATGCGTCCAAGTGGGCCTCCAGACTCCTGAAAGGCGCTGCAGGTTCCTCACTCTCCCTCGGCTCTGGTGCCTGTGGCGAGGGCCCCAGTAGGTCATCCTCTGTGACTCGATGGAACTCCACCTGCCTGAGGCCACAAGCAGGGAAGGACTCCCTTGCCCCGGTCGGTCCCGCTTGTCCTTCCTCCCGCTGTGCCAGGGCCTTCCGGCCACCTCTCGACGTCACCGGCTCTCTTGCCTCCAAATCCCTTAATCTCTTGCTTTGCGGTCTTCTATCAATTTTGGGCTCTGGCCTCTATGGTTCCAGTCGCCGAAACGCCACCCTCCACTGAGCCCGACAATCCTCCCAATCTCGTGCCCGACCCCGGATCTGCCTCGCCAGCGCACACTCCGCTCCTCTGGTCCAAATGAGTAGCGTCTGCACCCACTCGTCCCTCGGAACCCCCTGATCGCTCATATACTGTTCGTATGCCGGGATGAACTTCTCCACGTTCCCTTCCTCCAAGCGAATAGGTAGCCCATCATTCCCCAAAGGCAAAACTCTCAGTCTCTGCATCCTTGCTTCCACCTCCGACCAAGTCAGGGCTTCCTCCCTAATTTGCGCAACGGGCTCCTCGAACCTCCCAACTCCCCTCAAGTGACGTACCCTCTCGGACAAGTCCCATCCTCTCTGGGCTGCATGCTCTCGGTAGGCGTCCAAGAAGAACTCGATGTTGTCGTCATCAAACACCGGTGTAGGCTCTCTCCTGAAGGGCCCATGCCGCTCCTCCCCTCCGGATGCCCCGAGAGGTCTTTGTCGTGGCCGTGTGCCCCGCCCGCCCCTCTGCATGGCTGCCTTCAAAAAGTCAGACCTGCACTTCAGGCGAAACGAAACAAGCAGGCACACGACAAGATCAGCATATGGGCTCAGCAGTCTTCAGAGCAAATGTACACCCAAATCTCAGACACATCAAACCTCTCTTCGCTTCCAATCATGGCATGCAATACCTAGGCCGAGGGTCTACTCTGGGATGGATCGCAGCTATTGGGAGGGGTTGCGGCTTCACCTTTTCCCTGGCCACAAACTTCTTTAGCCTTGTCCCGGATACCCAATCTTTCCATTATGTGTCGTTTAGCTCCTCGATCTGGTATGCCCCAAATTCGCCGCATCGCACAATCCTGTAGGGCCCCAACCATCTTTTGTCAAGTTTTCTTGACCACTGCTTTTCCAAGGATGAGTCGTATAGTAGTACACTATCTCCCACCGCCAAGGGCTCTTTCCGCACCCAGGCCATTTGATCCCACCTCATCTTATCCTCCATGCGGCTTCTCTCTACCTGACCAGCGACTTCTCGCAATCTTTCCTCGGCCGCTCCCACTTGCCATGCCCGGATATCGAGCAGCTCTTCAAAGGATAGGTTTACCTCCAAGTCTTGGCGCCTCCATGTTTTCATAAAGCTTTCTATAGGGAAGGTGGCGTGCCTCTCATACCATAGCGTGGCTGGCGCATACTTGGTAGTCCTCTTCACCGTAATATTCTCCGTGAAAAAAACCGCTCGCAGGAATTTCGGCCACTGACCAGGCTTGCCCTCCGTCCACTTAGCCAAGAGATTCGTGATGGTACAGTGTCCCCTCTCCACATGAGCATTTTCTTGAGGGTGCGCGGCCGTAGTATAGTTGGCCACCACCCCATACCCAGCAAGCAAGGTTCGCACCTCATTGCAGGTAAACTCTGACCCTCGGTCCATCACGAATTCCTGAACGAAAGGATAATGCAGGTAATACTCCTCGATGCAATTCGCCAAAACTGGTCAGTCTTCGTCCGGATAGCCCGTCCGTCTACAAACTCGGTGAGATTGTCACGTGCATCGAAGATGTAATTGCACTCATTTTTCCCAACTGGCATAAACAGTCGGTCTAGGTGTACAACCGCACCCACCTCCCTTTCCAACCTTGGGTGCAAGGGCTCTCCTGGCCTTTGCGCTGACGTCTCTTGGCAAGGTACACAGGATCGGCAGTACTTGATGACCATCGTCAGCATTCCTTCCCAATGGTAGAGCTCGCTTATCTTCGCACATGTGGCACTCACTCCTCTGTGCCCACCTACTATACCATCATGTAATGCCGCTATGATGTCCAGCTGTCGGTTCCTCCCTCATACAATCCGCTTGGGGTTCCCAACTTGCCGCTTTATAAACAGATGCCCATTTCTCACTACATCGAGGTGCCTCATCTTCTGAGACTTATCGCTAGTGTCCCTGTCCCTCATCTCACAGGATAGAAGTAGGCCCAGCTCAAGATAGATCCCGTCGTATTCCTCTGCCCGGAATGCCTCCTTAATCTCCCCTTCTTCGAACTCGTCATCCTGACTTTCCGGAATTAGAATCTCATTTTCCTCATGACTAAACGAGCCTCTCTGGTCGAAGTCCCCTTGCAGGAGTGTATTAGTGAGCAGATACATCCCTCCCATTAGTTGCTCATGTTCCTCTACCTGAGTAGGCCCTTCCTCTATTGTCCTCACCTCTTCCATCAAGCCATGTGTCCCTGCCAGTGCCAACTTCATCATCCACTAAGTGTCCTTGCCTCCCCACGGATCTTCTTCTTGAAAGGGCTTAAAGACTAAGTCATCCTTCCGCTCATATCCTCTTGGTGCTATCCATATGGGATAGCTAACACAACTGGGTACTCGCAGCGCCCATTTGTTTATATGGAGTCGCACATCTTCTTCTTGATTTAGGAACCCGTTAACTGGATGGATGTCTTCGATCGACCCCTGATCCGCACTGTCCTAGTTGACGCGGCTCAGGCCATCAGCTCTATTCTTATTTCCCGGGATCCTTTCCAATTCGAAATTAAATATCCAAATGTACGTCAACCATCGAGCGACGGTTGGGTCAAATGGTGTATAATTCTTCAAAGAGCAGGTCAGCGCCGTAGGGTCGACCCTTAATATAAATCTTCTCCTGAAGACATAATTCCGGAAGATCCTTAGACAATATAGTACCGCAAGCATCTCCTTCTTAAACTGAGAGTAGTTCCTCTCAGTTGTGTTAAGAGTACAACTTTCGAATCTTAATGGCCTCTCCTTTCCTTCGGCATCTGCCTGGATCAAAACTCCTCCCACTGCAGTTGGCCCGACGTCTGTCTCGATGATGAACGGCTTCTCTTCAGTCCCCTGACTCCCCTCATAATTTGGCGCTCCCAGCACTAATCCTCCTTCCTTAAATTATCCCTTCATCCTGGCTACCGCTTCTTCCTGGTCTTCGCCCCAAACCCACTCCTGGTCCTGGCGCACCAGCTTCCTTAGATGTTCAGTCTTGGCGGCGAAGTCTTTCACGAAGCTCCTCCAAAATCCACAAGTGCCAAGAAAGCTTCTCACATCCGTTATGGTCCGGAAAGGCACCGACCACTCTAAAATTTTGTCTGTCTTCTTCACATCTGGATTCCGACCCTCCTCATTGCAGACAAACCCCAGGATGGTGGCTTCTCTCATACATTGCTTGGATTTTGACCTGCTTGCAGTGAGGTTGTGCTCCTCTAGCAGACCCAACACTCGATCGAGATTTTGGATATGCCTCTAAACAAAGCGTCTCACTCCGGGTTGCACCTCGTCCTCCTCTCTCTCTTTTGGCCCTTTGACCGCCAAGTCGTCGATGTAGGGTTGGGTGATGTGCAGGCTGACTGTTTGCATGGCCTTGATCATATGTCTCTGCACCATCGCCACTGCATTTGTCCAACCCTGAGGAGCCACATTCATGTGGATTAGCCCCCTTGGCGTGTGCAATGCCGTCACCGGCCTATCGGGCGGGTATACAGGAAATTGACCATACTCGGAATAAAGGTCTATAAGTGAGATTATAGGCCTCCCCGCACATGACTCTGACAGTGCATCTGCGTTCGGCAAGCCTCCCGCATCTCGCACCGTTACTGCATTTAGTCGTTGCAGATCCTGTACCCACCGTAGCGTCTCGTTCGGCTTAATAAAGTAGAACCAAGGGGAAGCATATGGGCCGCTAGAATGGCCGGCAACATGCGTGCGCATCTTGCCATCCAAATAATCCACCACCATGATCTGCACGGTCGATCTCCATCCCAAGCATGAGCGCATCTCTTTCTCTAATGATATTCATTTCAGCGCCCGTATCCATCATTGCCATGCACTTCTTCTCTTTTACTACCAAGTCCACCAATCCGCATGCCGCACACTTCCAGTCCTTTCTTGTCCCAGCTTGTGTCCATCCCGCTTCCCGGGGAAGGACGACGCTCAAGTGCACGTTGGGCACTAGCCTTCGGGACAATCGCCCTTTCAATTCCTCCCGGAGTCTTGGTGCGGACCCCATAATATCTTTTAAGTTCATAAGGTCGTTATGACCTTCTAGGAGCCGGTCCACCATCCTTCCTACGTCAAAGTCCTCCTCCAACCTGACTGTGTACTTTCTTTTCCTGGGCACACCATCCTGTAGACCTGGCTCGACTCTCTCCTGCGCCTCTTTTCTCTGAGCTCTCTGCTCCGTCCGCCGATCCTCCTCCTGGCGGAGTCTCTCATCCTCCGTGTCATCATCCTCTTCCTCTTCTTCCTGGACCTCGACCACTTCCTTTCTACGCTCGGGCTCAGGTCTCTTCCGTGGAGGTGCCTGACTCGGCGCTTGACTTGGTGGCTGACTAGGGCCCGCCTTACTTTGGCTCCTTCTTTGAGTTGCTTGCGGCGCCCGCCCATGCTGGGTGGGCGGCCTGAACATCATTCCTGACCTGGGGCCAGACCCCGCCACGGCAACCCCGGGGCTACTCTGCTGTCCAGCTGCCGGCCCCGGCCCGGTCTCATAGAGGAAGACCTTTGGAAGGTCGGCTCTCCACCCTTGGACTTCATCACATAACTTTTTCAGCTTCCGCTAGTACCTCCCTATTTTTTCCATCAAATCCTCCATCTTTTCCAGAGTGGTTACGGCCGGCCCCCTTTCATTCTCTCTCTCCTCTTCGTCTGACTCAACAATTATTGGCTCTTCCTTTATGGCCCCAACCTTCAATCGTTGCGTAACCTCCTCACTATCCCCCGTGATCTCTTCGATTCTTATGGCCGGGTCTTCTCTCTCCAGCCACATCCTAAACATGGTCGGGGCAGCCGACGGCCCTGCCGCCGCCCGCCTGAGGGCCTCCTGCCTGATTCCTCCCGGGGTCCTTGGGTCAATTTGTTCCCCCCACTTGTCGTATATGTCCCCATCCAGACAAGAGGAAATCAGGCCCGCAAGCTCGTCATCTCGCCGTTGCTGGCAGAACCGAATTGTGTGGCCTACAACGCCACAATGCCAGTAGGTCGCGTTCCGCCAGTCGAAGCGGGGTCTCCCATACCCTTGGCCTCCTTCCTGACTACCCTGGTCACCTTGGCCTTGGCCCCCTTGGCTGTTCCATCTACCGCCACGTCCCCCTCCATTTCGGCCTCGTCCGCCACCCCCTCGGCCTCCTTGTCCCCGACCACCATTGCCCTGTCCTCCTTGCCCTTAGCCTCCTCCTCCCGCCACACTAGCCTGCGATACTTGCTGTGAGGGGGGAGGCTGGGCCGTGAATTGGCCTTGTGTCGCCGGGAAACTTGGCGGCCCTGCACTCGTTGACGGACCCGGGAATGGAACCATCTGTCCAGTATGGGTTTGGCCCCCTCCACACGAGGTACAATGACTATAGCTGGGCCAGGGTGTCGCTTGACAATGTGGTACCCAATGTCCGCAGGCCAGGGGCGGCCCCATTGGCGCCGGCCCTGTCAATATGGGCGCGGTTACGGCGGCTACTGGTGGTGCAGCAATTGCCTGGGGGGCTTGTCCTTTGCCAGACCCTTGGCCACCCAGCAACAGACTGTGTTGCTTCCGTTGGGCCTTGGTAAGGATTTGTGACCCCGTCTCCTCCCCACCGTAATCCTCTTGCCCGGCGCCTTCATCCCCCACCTCTTTCCCTCGGCCTTGGACCACGGCTACCGCCTTTCTCTGTGCCTCGGCATCCTGGCCATAGCCTAATGCCGCAAGTACATAAGTGACGATTCTCTTTACCCCCGGGGTCCCTAATGCAGCAGCGTCCCTTTCCTTCCTCTTCCTCCTTTGCAGGCGCATCTGATCCTGCTCTACCTGGTCTAAGCTCCCGTCCTCCACTCCTCTGTTGATGGTGGCCCAGGTAAGCTTTGCGCTGCCTCCTCCACGATTCGTCAGTTCGGGTGCCTCTGACCCAGTGAGCAGCTCCAGAAATATGGCGCACTGCCTCTCCTCAGAGATCCCGTGAACTTTCCTTGCCTTCTTCTTAAACTCTTGTACGAAGACCCCTATCGTGGTAAAGTCATCCTTGTTCATTCCCTCAAGATCTGAGATTGTAAGCAACCCATCACCCAGTCGATACTTGCGCAGCATGTTCTCCCTGAATCTCGCCCAAATGCCATGGGCGGCATCCACAACCTTCTGCACCTCCTGATGGTGCCTATGGAGCACGTACCTCATGATACGCTGGAATTTCACCTCATCTGACAATCCCACCATCGCCTGTTCCACCAGGTCCAGCCACTCTGAGACCCTTTCCCCATCGAAGTCGAAGGTCTCAACCTTCAGAACATTACTCGGGGTCCTCTCATGTCGATCTAGGGCTGCGATGAGGTCCTCAAGGGTCAGGAACCTTCCAGCGCCACCATCCTCCGGCATCTTGGTAGGCCTCCTTTTCCAATTTCCCGTTAAGAGCAAACCAAAGGCACTCACCTACTTAGCATCCTACTCCAACCTGGTCTAGCCCGCATTTCCTACCTAGCCTCACCCTCGACGTGAGTATTGCTCCCCTTTACGCTCTTGCTAGGACCGGGCAGACAACCAAATACACATATACAAGTGCTAACTTCGCCTTTTTATTCTTAGTCCATCATCACTTACCTTTCACTTCAATCACACTTATCACTCTCTTATGCCTATTTACTCACATGTATCCGGATGTCGTTCCACCAGGGACAACGGTAGGCTTCCGTATTCCCCGGCAACGGCGCCACCTGTCGAGCGCATCGGTCCGGTACTGCTCGTGGCAGCGCGGGACCCTCTCGGCCGCGTCACGCAGGAGTTGGATTAACCTTGCCGCGAACGCACAAATGGAGCTTCCTTAGGCCACTCCGGCCGAGTGCGCCAGCCATACCTCTCGCGAGCCCCTACGACAGGATAGGGCCTACGCGAGGCACAACTTACCTCCACCTTACGGGAGCTGTCACCTCCCTTCGGTGGGCGTATCCCCACCGAGCTACCAGTCCACAGTACGAAAGCTACTCGGTTGCAATCACAGAGGTGGACCAGCCGAGGGCGTTTCTTGTTCGCTGTAGCATAGGGGGTACGCGCGGTAGCACGCCCATCGGACCCGCACGCGGACCGACATCTTGGGGGGCTGAAGTCCCAAAGGCGGTTCGTCGTCTGTCGGCTAGGACACATCCCACTAACCACGCATACACTACTCTACGAACACAACGAGGAAACACACACACACACACACAAACGATATGGCACAAACAATGCGACAACCCTCCTAGCCCCTTAGTAGTCGTCCCATAACCTTTCGACGCGGAAATCGGGTGGGCGTCGCACGTGAAGCTTAGTATTAGAATCGCGCAGATGCAGAGCTACTCATATTAACTCGCAATGCGAACGTACGCAAACAGTCGCAGTGATGGCGTACTATGTAGTAGCCACATCTATGCGGTCCTCGTTAATCTCGAGGGTCGTACTCGACACTCAAGTGTCGGTTGACACGCGCCTTGAGGGTTAATCTCTTGACGTTGAACAACCGCCATGCGCGGTTGAAGACCACACCCTCTTCTGCACCCTGTGCAGAGGGGTTGAGTAGACAACTTTAAGTTGTCGTGGCGGTCAAACATCAAGGGGTTTGACTTTGACAGCCGCCACGGACTATAACGTCCAACCATGAAAACGCAAAAAGGAAACTCACTCCAATTCTCGTTAGCTGATGGCCCCCTAGAATGGAAGGGGGTGGACAAACCCAAACGACGCGCGCGCGGAGGAGGCTCGGTATCCTGCCCATAGGCTACCCGGTGTCCGGGACAATGAGGCTCGTACACGGACTACCATAGGCCGACCGGGACTAGTCCTCCGCCCACGTGCCGCTTCACGTTACCAAGATCCCAAGTTTATTGGTCGTGTCTCGCTCGTGGTCTCGCCGCTTGACCCATAACTCTTTAAGTGCGGGGTGCGACGAGTGCCATGCGCGCAAACTTAGTATGAGATCGCGAGGGCGCTGGACTTACACATACTATCTCGCTATGCAGCTCTATGCGAGTAACTGCAATGACGACGCATTATGTAGTGCCCGTACCCAAATGGCCTATTCTGAGCCAAGGGGTCACCTCCGATGCTCAGGCGTTGGCTGAAGCGCGCGCTGAAGGGGGTAACCCTTTAGCGGACGCAAAACCGGCCTTAGGGCCTTTCCGTCTTCTGCACCCTGAGGTGTCCCAAAGGGTGCGGGGTAAGACGGTCCCTAGGGCAGGAAGGAATTTGGAGCCGTGGTGAGTTGTCTGGCGCATCACCAGCGSCACRCTAATCCTTCCGCCTGGAACTTTATCTTTCCACCAAGATAAGTCGCAACAAGGAAGGGAAAYAAGTACTTTTACCGTTTATCAAARAAAAAMCCCTCTCGTGTTGTCTCTTATACACATCTACAAAAAAAAAACCCTCTCGTGTTAGGCTCAGGGCCTTTACTGCGCGGGTACTTCTGGCCTCGCTAATTCCTCATGCAGGTACACATACACTTGCACATACATACACACAAGAGGAATAATTATGTGGCAATCACTTCTCACAATCATTGTGGGTCTCCTTCTAGTCATACTTATATGYGCGACCGCAAGGCARCCCAACCAAAAMCCCCAAGTCKCTGAACATACCTGCAATCACATCAAAAGTCAGACAAGAGTCCACRYACTACACGGAGTCAACTCCAACCAGTTYCTATACTCATACCCCTCGCTTTAGYCATGCAAGCCCCAACCTCCCGCMAACCAACCTKAAATAAATACTYAGTACCTTTGTTAAATGGCCATTCAATAAAAGTCYGGGTGGAACCCTTAACAAACAGGAAGATCATCAGGGCTAAAGCCTTTTAGGTTGAGTATGGGGAGTGAGTAGGAATTGAGTCGCGAACYGACGAATCGRCAACCGAYSAGTTATSAATSATAACAGCAGGTGACCCTCAAGGGATCAGYTGAACCTMRTCCAGGTCCTGAATYAGATCRATCAAGTTGGCCTGTAACACAAGACAGGTCAACGCCCAAGGCTAAACCTGTAAGCCTTATGCAAACTACCTTCTATATGGTGATCCTATCTAATCTCCTGGWAGCCAAACTAGGYCTGAGCCTAGTCCTAAGTCAGGGCTCAAAGAAAAGGTAGACCTTTGGTTGGGTTTYCCCTATACAAAGTGGACTGCCAACTCTGCCACCTGTCATAATATAATCTAACTCCTCTAAACTAAGAAAATTTYGGCAGCGCTTCYCGTAGRAAAACTGCCTTTCCAGAATTTATATAMGCCTGAATATAAAAGCAAGAATAGTCTTTRACTTTCTAAAGCTCAATTTTGTCTAACTCCYTGAATTAGTAAAAATTTGAACAGCACTCCCTTTAGAAAGGGAGACTTTCCAGATTCCTACTAATCCATATATGACTCAGACAGTTGAACTTTTGAGAAGTAAGAGATTTGTCTAACTCCTTGGATTTGCAGAAATTTYGGCAGCGCTTCCCGTWGGAAAAGTAGCTTACCAAGATTTATACAAGCCCAAGTATGAGAAAAGACCTCAGAYAAATGCAGAAATCGAACTAAGTAAAAAAAACTATCTCAAAAAATGTARAAATTGAATCTAACTCCTATAGCTCTAGCACGTKGCAAGCCACTACAACAACTACCTATCAACTCAAACTCAGACCACGTAGCGATGCCACTCAATCACATGCAGACCAAACCACAAAGGTAAGTACTCTCACCAACCCCAGGTTGACTTAGCAAACATTAGTTCATAGTCTTTCAGTGTTTTAACCCTTTATACCCTGCTTACATAGGGCATTGAAACTGGTCATTCATCTTAAAAACAATGTCATCCCTCTGCCTTAGTTATACACGAACAGTTTGCGCAACTACTTTTCTCTTCGTTGGGCATGTGACTAAGCCATTCATCTTAGAAACCATGCTTAGTCGCCCTGAATCGTTTAAATAGCCAAGTTATATATACCTTTCTGCACCTTAGTCTTCAGAAAGAGGGCGTAGGGCTGAGTCATTCATCTTAGAAACAATGCTCAGCCTGCCCATGTTACTTTTAGTTATAGCTCTCAATTATACTCTTTTCGCTTGTGATAGGGCTATAGTCATGTCATTCATCTTAGAAACAATGTCTGGCTAGCCTTGTTCACATATAAGTACATATATATATATACAACATTATAGAGAATCATATTTCTTTGTTCTCATTACGGTCCTGAGGCATCAGACTTAGACCATTCATCTTAGAAACAATGTCTAGTCCTCTGGTCCTAAATCCTCCCTCAGAATAAAACAATCAAGGAGAGATGAGCCATTCATCTTAGAAACAATGGTTAGCTCTCTTTTTTTCAGCATACAAAAAAAGCAGAGTACCATGGGTCTGACCAAGAGATTGTTCAGAAACCACCCAAGTAAACAGCGACCAGACCATTCATCTTAGAAACAATGTCTGACCCTCAAAAGTCAAGCAGGCAATACCCCTCAGATATAAGTAGCCAAGCCATTCATCTTAGAAACAATGTCAGGCACAAGTAAAGAAACATAGCAACCAAGCCATTCATCTTAGAAACAATGCCTGACCCTACAAGCCCCATTCAATCGCAAGCAAAACTGCCTTCCTCCCAACCTTCCCCCTGATGCAACCCCTTGTGACAACCTGCCTTCACACAATCAAGAAACGAAAACTGCCATTATACAAACATTCCTTTAGTTAGTCCGATTTGTGTCCTGAAAGTCAATCCAAAAGTCAAAGTAGAGGTTGCACTCAGCATAGCCAAACAATATTAATAGAGGAATGTAGGTAGGGGTTATACTAGGTCTATGAGGGAAAGCAGAGGTGACCTTTGAGWTCCCTGCCTCCAGAACTCCTCCTGAGTTCCGGCAGGGCTCACGCAGTCGGTGGGGCAACCTCCCACAAAGGCCTTGGCGCGGATTACGGGTTGCAATCCCGCCTGCCGCCTTCCTCTCCAAACCAATAGACTAGACTGAGAGTGAGAAGGGCAGAAGAAGAAGCAATAAGTCTCTCAGATACGAGAGGGGTGCACTCAAACTCCCACGAGAGGGCCTTGATGTCTTATGCGCCTTAGGGCCCCGCAATGATGGCCAAAAGGACAGCTTGATCTGTTTTGAAGTCAGCCGATAGAATCAGACTCTCTAACTGACCCCCGATTCGCAGCGGTAACCCCTCCTCCCCGCGTGGCCCCACTCTCCAGGCCCCTCGGCAGCAGCCTCTCTTTCAATCTCACTGCCGCCACCCGCCACTAGCAACTATACCCGAGGCGTTGCAGTAGTCCATAATAGCCCGTCGCAGTACGCAGTCACACGCAGTTCGAGCCCAGTCCACACGCGTAGCCACACACGTAGCAGCAGTCGGCAGCAGTGTACAGTCAACAAGCACCGCAGCAGTTTGCGTTGGCTCAGCAACAGTCAGCGGCCGTCAACAGCAAGCCGCAACTGTCCGCAGCTAGTCACAGCCTGTGCGCAGTCAAACAAGCACAACAGCCTCT